AAAATGAAATAAAATCAAGAATCATTATCATAGCGGTCGTTTTAATGCTTTTATTTTTTAACCTTTGCTTTCTTGCGTTATTTTAATAATACTTTATCACCAGGCGAGTATAGACATGCCATTTTATTTCACTAGCAGTAATGTGAGCTGGTCTCTTGGTAGTTCCAATATCAACATTAGTTTGAACGTTCACGAGCGCCTCTGTGACCTTTCCGACAAGCACTTGCCATAATTATGCAGTAAAAACCTTCATAAAATTATTTTAGCTGCACGACAGCCTTAATTATTGTTTGATAACATTTTCCAAGCCTCTATTTCTGTAAGCTCATACGAAAACGACGTTGATAGGAAACTAGCTCTGCCCTTAAAGCTATATGTGTAGTCTTGTTGTCGGCCCGAAATTCGCTCAGCCAGTCATCAGAGCTGTTTTTTTGTGTTTGTTTTTTTTTTTTTGCTTCAGAAACAGAAGCATCAAAGTTGCTTCTGTTTTGTTGGTTTTTTTTGCCGAAAGCTTTCATACCAAGGTAACTTTTTCGTGCTCATCCATGTTCTGCGACTGTTGCCGCGATGTGACAGGGTTGTCGGACAACATCGGAAAGGAGCAACAGGTTGCACGATTGTTGGACAACATGTTTTGTTGGTGTTGCCGCCGTCTTGCCTCAGTGTTTCAGGGCCCTTAGAATTTTCGAAAGGCACGCATTTCGGATAATTACTCCAATTAAAAAGGCATTAGTATATCGGCTGCCTAATGCTAGTGGAAGGATACTTTTTTGTTTCTTCGTGTGCGTTCAGTAAAAATTTAAATGTTGTATTATTAATCTAATGTCATGAATCAGAAAAACATTCGATATGAAAATATTCCCTTTAGAAGAAGAACAAGGGGAACAGAGGACAAACGGATATCTCCAAACACAGTTAATTTCTCCTAGCTGTGTTGAGATTTGTGTTTGTCCTTTGTCCCCTTTTTCTTTTTCTCCAGCGATTTTTTTCACCATCCTTTTCCAGCTCGCTTGCACCTTTGCATTATTTTCATTATCATAATAACCTTAATATGTAGGCCATTCACCCTTCCGTATTGACAAATCTCATTTGCATGAGAACTTTTTGCGTTCAATAAGCACATAGGAATTATACAGGATATATAATGACATATAAGAACTATATAAGAAGTATAAAACTTGTGAAAAGTTTCTCTAATGTTCTCATATGTCTTATATAGTTTTTTACGGTTCTTATATGGTTCTTATATGTTCTTATATATCTTGTATGATTCATATGTGCGAATTGGGCACAAGAAATTCCTCATACAAATGGCATTTTCTCTAGGGTTGTTGGAGCTCGACCGGCGGCAGCTGATAAAACCCCTTTGCTCTACTGACGCCTAACTCCTGATTAGCTCAGTTGGTAGAGAGCTCCACTAGAAATAGAGATGTCCCTGATTCGATACCAGGACCAGGCGGATATTTTCTGTCGCGCACCAGTCACCTAGCTGTGTTTGGAGATTGGTGTTTGTCCTTTGTCCCCGTTGTTCCTCTTCTCCAGGGAATATTTTCATCGTTCTAGTGCAGCTCGCTCGCACCTTTGGATTAATTGAATTATTAGAAAAACATCCGCATTTCTCCCATTGCACACACCTATATTTCGATATATTGTTCCTTTAAAACATATTGATCGATTCTTGTTTATTTCCAGGCTACGTGGAGAGCAATGCTGGAAAACACAATCCGACTATGACTTTTTTAACGTCACCAAGGATGTTGCGGGCCGTTTCATCACACCGCAGACGTTTTGTCGACTCATTAACCCGGAGGAATTTTCTTCGGGCGTGAGCATCACTCCCCTTCCCCTTTGTATGCCTTTCCTGTCCCTGAAATCCGCTCCCCTACCTCTCGGCAATGCGCACAGCATGCTGAAGGTCTGTCCAAGCAGGACACGTTTAGTGCAGCCACACCATTTGCTCTCGCTGCAAATGAATGGTTTCCTTCTGTTCCGACCTGCATGCAAACGTTTCTTTTTTTTTTTTTTTGCTGGGGGAAATGCTATTTTTGGAGAGAGGTTTTAAGAGTGCTCATCACGTGGACTCGGAGTCACACGCTCTGCTGGCTGTCGTCAAGACCCCACTGTTGTTGGCAATCGCCAATCTTCTGAACGATAGTAAACGATAGTCGGGAGGCGAGGAGGAAAGGCGTGCTCTTTCTATGGTTGATGCCCTCGCTGAAAACGTAGGCCCGCGCAGCAAATTTCACGCCCTTTTGAACCGTGCACACTTTTTTTTTTTTTGCTGTGCACGTAATTTTTTTTTTGTTTGGGCAACCCTTGAGTCGTGCGCTTACAAAGACGTTTCCAATAAGAAAAGCTATCTTTCAAGTAATGCCGATTATGTATGTGCTGTGTCATGAACATACGTCACAGCTCAGGCTGGCATAGAGCTACGCACTTTATGGTTGGAAAAGGACAGTCTCAGTTTTTTGTCTTTGTAAAAAAGAACAAAGCCTTTTTTTAATTTGTGTATTCACATTAATTCAAATGCCTCTTAGGTATTGCATATATAAGGACTAGACCGTTCGATATAAAACCTGGACGTAAATGGACGTGAAATCGCTAAAGATGTACCGGAAATAGAACCTACTGCACAATGCATTACTACCACAAAAATAATATCAGTACGACTTAAGTTTAATATTTTTACCCAGTTATTGATCTCAAAAGCCATAGGCATAAAATATGTCAACACCTCCTTATTCGCTGACCATCTATTTCAATTGAAAAAGCCATTGCTTTCGGAGACCATTAGACACTTGCTCTAGTGTCAGTGGTTATGGGCACATATGTTCTACAGAATTTGATATCTAAATTAATATTGAAAAAGTAATCAAACCTTTTGTCCCACAGCAAATATTTTAAGTTAACTACTTTTCTTGCTACAAATACTTTCAGAGTATGAAGGACTGCGTCATAACGTGCAGTAATTCGGACTTTTGGTCCGTAACGGAGAACACCTACTTCGCTCCATTTGGCTACCCATGCGGGAATAATGGCGAGGTAGGATATCCAAGATACTTTCTTTTTTTAGTTTTCAAGCAGCTTGGGGGGCATGGGTGTTTCTGATGAGTGCAGAGAAATGAACCTGTCAGTTAGGGGAGTTAGAGTACCCACAATGTAAGAAACGCATTAAGTGCCGGGTACTGAACATCTTACCATTGCTCGGTGGCCAATAAGATCTCGGCATCAGTGGTTAAGAACGTCGAACGCCGATCACGCTCTCAGAATCAAGACCATAATGGTCCACACCCTGCGATCTTTCAGCTGACAGCGACTCTATGTGTGCTTCAAGAACGGCTTACCAGTATATCCTCTCATAGCGAACACTAGGTAGACAATTAATGTTATATATATATTTTAGATAGCTCAACTCTTTAGAGGTGCAAGTAATATCCGGCTCCAATCAATCTTCAGTGGTACACCGCCTGCTCTTTTAGGCGTTTTAGATTTGTTTTCAAAAAGGCCGTGATTGCTACACTAATGCAGTCTGCCATCTTTAATGGTGCAAAAACATAATGTCGCCCCAGCGACCTACCAAGTACACCTAAGTCACCCAGGGTGGATAGATTGGACAAAAAAAGCTGAATTTCTCTTTTTTGCACCATCAGAGGAAGATAAGCTCCTCTACTCTCGATTATAAGAGGTTTCCTTTTTCCCACTCTCCTCTTCTCTGGAGTTCCCTCTGGCATTGTGGAAAGAGTGAAGAAGTTCGTGAGAGGAGCTTATTGTGCATTTTTTTTTAATCTACCTTTCTCCGAACCATTTTCGAAATATTACTTAGGCCCTTTTTTTTGTAAAGGGTTATGGGGCGGGTTCACCAAAAAGATGGTTTCGAATTTATGATAAAAATCGGACAGTTAAAATTCGGCATCGAATGTAACGAGATAACTAAGCCTCTCACAGTTTTACAATGCTAGCAGCACATCAATGATTTTATTTTTTTTAGAACTGGGATAAAAATTTGTATTTCACACGTAGCTTGAAAGAAAGATACAGACACTCAAACGTTTCCCTAAGATACTATTGGGATACATGTGCACCGCGACACTGCCCAGTTCTGTCTATCGCCGATTTCACATTGAACAGAGGGGATCGCCAGCAAGAGCAGTCTTTCGAACTGCGTAGAAGATAAAAAAGACAGCAGATTGACCAAGCGCCACTTACCCATTTCAAGCATTCTTAGTCTGATGTTAATTACCAACAACTCTTTGACGTGAAGCTCAAATTAATTGGAACTGTGCTATCTATTGGCTCGTTCAAAGCAACCAAACCCATTCGGCATGCCACATGTTGCTCGCACACACATTATAACCGGACGGAAAACAAATAAGGAGAGTTCGTCACAAATAGCGAACAGCTCAAACCTACTTAAAAGTGATATTGACGCAGGAGGCGCTTTTTCTGTGTAAGTAGGCCTTTCCTGTTCGTATACGCGTATGTTTCTTTTGTCTTAAGTTGTTCGCACATGTATACACCAATGTACTACAACTATATGTTTTCAGACATCTTCTTGCTAACCTTGTGCGATTTTTGGTGAATGCTTATTTTTAGCGTGTATTATGCTCCAAAAGCCGAAACCAGGCCAGTACGCGCAATAAAGAGATCCTACGTTAAAACTTCTGCGTGGTGCTTAGAATCGCGTAGCAAGCACAAATTGACGGCTGGTTAACATTCCTCGGTGTCTCGTCACTACAAATTTGAGAAATCTGAGATAAAAATTGTTCCGTCTTTTTCAGCGGTGCTGGTTCGGAAAATGCAAAAATATTGATAGTGAGGTGTCTTGAACAGTTACAAGGTGGAAATTGCGCTCCCAAATATCCATGCCTCTGAAGGAGTATAAATAAAAGCGTTTTCTTTGACTTTCGCATTCAACGTTATATGAGAAAATAATCACAATCAATGTATGTGTTTACAATATCTTTTTACAATAAAATGCATATTTGAACGTTTTATGAACTTCATTTAGCTTTATCTGCAAGAAAAAACACGAAAAACAAAATACAGAGACTTGACCTAACGGGTCGTTTATTTTTAATTTTAGTAAAATCTAAAAGATTCTTCGCGGCAGTCATTAGTCCAGGTTTTGATATCTGCCTTGCTACATATCGATGAAGAGCGAAAGCACTGTAGCAACCTGTATCAGATCAATCGAAGCAAATCAATTTTATTTATGAATTGCCACACAATACACAACAGCATGCACATATAAAGCCTTTGTTTCAGTAGGGCAGTATAGCTTTCTAGTTATGGCGTATCTTGTCGCACATGTCAGCATATTTCGTCGCCATTGCAACCCAACGTCTTCATCACGTGACAAAAATATGAAGTGAGCAAGCAGTAAATCAAAGGAAATCTTGTCTCATTTGAAGGAGTCATGGGTAAATTTAAAATACAAAGTTAGTTCTAGAAACTAAAACCGGCTTTCTTCCTTTTCCACAATAAAACTACGTATCTCAGAAATTTAGAACTTCGTTAATAAAGCGAATTCAAACGCATTCAGACGCCGCAGTATGTAGGAACCTTATTTTTGTCGACACCGTTTATTGCCTTTCGCGATGTGAGCGGGGCTGTCACATTACGAAGATCACTAATCGTTACGTGTCGCTGTAGCGCCCCAAGTGAGACAGAACACTGTGAGAGACTGAACGCAGAGTTCAATCAGCTTTGCTAAACCAAGACATGAAACAAGTGTGGTCCTGCACGAGGAGGCTTGGCGTGAAAGAAACGCAGTCTTGGGCTCGCGCAGGGACGTGTACCAATGTTTCAGTGCACCACAGGCGCAAAAGGGTCTCGGATGAAAAGCTGGATGGACGTGCAGGAAAGATCGCGGCGTGCTAGACGAGGTCTGACAGAAGCTTTTCGACATGAACGCGGAGGAGTACCGGAAACTGCACGCGTCAGCCTAGAACAGTTTCTGCAGCTCCCTTCCCGCCTGTAACCTAGAATTGCACGACAAACCGGACAAAACACAACGATTCTCCAGTTTTGTTTTTCTCAACAGGAAACAAAAACAACAACAACACGATCTTATGTTGATAACACACTAAATGCTTTTCGAGTTACACGCCTCTCGGCTCTTCAGTCTTTTTCCTCTGCGCGCCCGTGAACTGAAATAATATTTTATTTTATAGTAGAAATTCGTTTTGCCAAAAAACGAAATTTTCGTTGTACTAAATAAAAAAAGGAACGAAATTTTTTAGAGAACTTACAATCGAAAAAGAGGAGGAGCGGACTACGCTCATTACGGCCAATCACCGGACGAGCCTCAATTGATGTCATGGTCCACCCTCAAGCTGGATTTTTTTGCAGTCTAGTGCGCCAATCTCATGGGTCCCGGTGTGATTGTTGCTGTTTTTCTTAAATTAATTTGTGCGACGCGCAAGAGCGACATCGTGCTAAAACGTCGTTAAAGTTATACACTCTAAGAAAAAGGGGAGGGCGACTTAGTACCAGAGGGGAGCAAGTGCGTTGCCACCACTATTAGTCCCATCAGGGAGTAACGGGAAGAAAAGTAACTGTTGCACCCCTCCTTTAGTCTCTCGCATTAGCACCGTTGGGGCTAACTGTAACACCGTTTCAATTACCTTGAGGAACAACTGTTAGGCGCTTGCACCTGGTTCTTTGGGACCAACTGTTGCACCGCTTCAATGGAACCCCGAGGACGAACTGTTAGGCCCTTGCACTTTGACTCCTAGGTCTAAACGTTGCGCCCTTGGATTTAGACCCCTGGGACTAAAGATTTATCCTTTACATTCGGTCCCGAGCAACAAATCTCCGAAACGAAATTGTGCAGTTCAGGTTAAACGTAGCTTTACTGCCTCGTAGATACATATCGCATTCAAGGATGACTGAAGTCGAAGTTCCTGAGCGGTAGAATCCACAATAAGGCCAAAAGCTTCCTGCCTGTTTGCGAGGAATTTTGGAGTATTAGCAACAGAGGCAGCGTGAAATACCCGATCGCATCAGCAAAAGTATGAGTTATAACATACACGTAATAAAAAAACAAATAGGCTACAAAAGTGGTACAATGGTTTACATCTAACATGCGATCTGTTGACAGCAGACCAGCGCAACATTATACTTATAGTAGACCGTTCGCTGCGAATTACACACCCAGCGTGTGCGTGCTCAAACTATGCTTCAAACCGACGGAACGAGCTCATGCCATCAACCCGAAAGTCTGTACAATCGAATGAATGTCTCCATTAAAGCCGGTTCTCACAGGCAGCGAAGCGCTGCAGTAGCGCTGCTCACGTGTCGTGAGCTGCTTTTCGTCTGCCTTGAGCAAGAGTTTTGATGGTGCGATACAAAGCTGGTGAAAGCTCCCGTCAGCACGCGCTTAGCGCTAGGTCAGTGCTATGCTTCTAGCTCTCTGGAGCATGTGTGAACAGGCCGTTATGGTAAAGCGATCCTGCCAGGGTCTGCAAAAAGCAAAAAAATAAGCCATCGGTAGAACTAGCGTTTTGCTCAATACGATTGAATATCAGGTCCCTGTTCGGCATAACAAAATAAGCAACCATGGTGCCAAAAAGAATAGAGCTTGGCGCGCGCTTCGGAAGCTAGAGAACGCGCTCGAAAAAGAACACTTTTTGAAGTCGCAGTTAATTAATATACCATAAACAGAAGTACTTTGACATTCCTTAATCAGGTTCCCTTGTCTTCTGACTTCAGCAGTGTTGCAGCACCGCGAATCCAAACCGGATCCCGCAATGATCGGAGACGACCAACTTCTAAGTTCTGACGAAGGCTATTTTCAAAGAAAGACCCATTCCCATTTTCCCGACAAACCCTGTCTGCCCCATCTGCCCAACCCCCGCGTGTACGAAGGGCGCAAGAAAGAACGCAGCGTAGGTTGTTGGTGGGAGGAGGAAGGGCGCACACGCGGAAATCTCTTTTCCCCCTCCCTCTGCACACAATGCACATGGACACAGCAATGCTTCAAGGACGGGAGAAGGTCAAAGGTCGCCATCTCAACACGCCGGTCAAGTGACGAACAAGCAAACGCGTTTTTTTTGTCGCTTTCTCTCTTTTTCAGTTTTCTCGGCGGCTTTTTTTTTTTTTTTTTAGTTCGCATTTGTTTTGTATTAGCACTGTGTTGCCATGGATGACGATCCGGGCACGGGTTGTTCTTCGTTGTTCATCTGGAATGTTATCTGAAACAGCGACGACGATCGTATGAGGGCGTCTAGATACTGCCCCTGAATGTGCTTTTTAAGTGGAACGCGCCGTGCATCAAGTGTGTCGTTGCGGATTTTGAGTTCCACATCGGACTCCCAAGAAAAAGTTGGTTACTATTCGCGTCTCCAGCTCAACGCTCGCCCTCCCGCGGCGGAAACGGGAAGCGCTCTAGTGAGGGTCCCCCGACTCTCCTGCTCAGCGGGCATGGCGGAACTGCTCGCGATCATGGCTCGCGAAATGTCGTTTCCGAATGTAAACAAGACTCTTCACTGTCCCAACCTAGTGCTGCAGCCGGTATGGGATTGTACCTTACTGGAGAGTTTTAGTATTGCGCATAGAAGCAAACGCAAGCGGTATGCGTTTGCGTTAGAGTTCCGTGCCCCACGTTGTGCGTGCGCCCCATCGCCATGCGCCATCCAAGACCGCAGTTTCGGGCTCCGCGCACGCGCAGTGTAGAACACGTAAAGCTAACGCAAACACACAGGGCTTGAGTTCGCTCGTATACGCAATATTAAAACTCACAACTGTTTCACCGGCTTCCAACGCCAACGAAACGTGCTGCAGTGACCAGACGTGCAAGCAGGTAGGCGTTCCTTCGAACTGGAAAGGTTGAGATTGGCAAAACAACGGCGAGCAAATACAAAAGTAAATAAATGTTATGAAAAAACTAATAATTAAAAAAAAAGCTTTTTTCTTTTTTTCATTTTTTTATTTTTTTAATTTTTTTATTTTTGGGCATTTGGTTTGGAAGGTTATTGGCGGCGACTTTGGGCGTTTCGCCGGTTGTCAAAAGTCGTGACTTTGAGCAGAATATACTTCATTCACAATTAATGTAATTTTACATGTATTTCTCACATTCGCTAAAATGTTTTCATTGATTTTAGACTATTTTTTTATTGGTAATTAAAATGCAGCAACTGAAACCAGTGATGATAATTAGCACAGTTTTTATTGTCCTATTTCTTCGCGCGTTTAAAATTAGATCATAAGCAACAAATTATATTAGAACTCTAAGAATTACTTATTCAAATATGTGACTTTTAATATTATTATTATTAATACAAATCGCGGCAAAGTATGCCTCTAATTAACGCCAAGATCGCGAGAATACGCTATTTAACAATAATAGTCTTCCGAGAAAGGTATAATTCTGTTTTCTTTTTAGCATATGAAAAACTCTGACATAGTTATCAAGATAGACAAGCAGTCAAACAATGGATGTAATATGAAGTCCTACACGTCACGCGGTGCTATAAACACACACACACACACTTCAGCTGTCTGACTCGGATTCCGTCTTTGGGTTGTTGCAGTGAGAGCAGCGTTTATTAGTTTATACGTTTCGTGGACATATTATAAAAATTAAAATTATTTTCTTATTCTTGTGCTGGAATAATTCTCATTATTTCCCATGACAATTATCTGAGCGAGAGAAAGGCTGCGAGAACGCACAGATATCAGCACTGATTTTTTCAGCAACTACAAATATCACCCTGGATCGAACAATATGTCACAAAATAAAGTTTCCGCGAACAACTCTTCTAAGTAAATAATTACGATGTGAGACACATCTTGAGTCGTGAAATAATTCGAAATTAAGGCCTATATCGAGAAATTAAATCCAAAATAGAGGTAAGTTTCGGTTTCGCTCCAGAATTAAAACGCGCATCCTTCCGTAAAAAATACGCTAAACACCGTTCTTGTTTTCAGGTTAAAGGGGTAACCTGCGCTCATAAAACATTAGCTTCCTTGTATTACCAGAAATAATTTATGTCGCTCAGTGAAGCCAGCACA